TTGTGATTTCTTAGTATTGCTCGAGGCAATATCATGTAGAACTTAACATTGTTACACAAATCTGTCTCTATTCTAATTGTTTTGTGCATATTTTATACAACAACAATAAGTTATGTAATTAGTTAAGAATTATTGGAACTCTTCTAGACTATTTAAAGATAATATGAACCGATCGATTCTACATCAGTCATGAAAAGTACATAAAGAGCGATAGATAATGTCAAGAAAAATGAGTCCGACAAAAACTCGAGTTTTCGAATTGTATTTCGCGTTCGACTCAATTCGAACCGGCCTTCGAGTTGGCTTAGATTGTAAGACTCTAGTCTAAAAATAATTGATATTTTTCTAATAACAATTATTATTCGATAATTCCAAACGAATCGATTAAATTCATTTTGTAACGAACTTACATTTAAAATATTTGTCGTCTATTATGAAATTATTTGTAGTATTCAAGATAAAAATAATGAATATCCATATTTTCCAGCAACAAATGATCAAACTCCATTGACTAATGATTCTATTATTGAAGAACGTTGTGTAAATTATATATTGAATTTTACTTTTTTTTTGTTTTCTTATTAATTTATTTCTTTTCACGTAGCGTATTCTTGTCGATTATTTCAATAAAGTTCTTAGACATCCTAAATTTCGTGCACATCCAGCAATGGTATGAATTCATAATTGATAATTATTACTAATTTTGAACATATAGATTAATCAAATATTTAACATTCATGAGAAACTTCTTTGAGTTCATTTTCGTAGAAACTAACTTTTGCTAACGATAGTTTTCTCTCATTTCAATATCGCTGAATGAATTCATAATAAAAAAAAAAACTATCGAATCAAATATAATCTGTTACATATAAATTGGTAACCAAGTCAATGAAATCTGTTTCTTAGTCGAGAACACATAACACTAGATGAAGATTTCATCTATATTAATTTTTCTCTAAAGGGTTGCGGCGGTAGTATACTCATTCTATCTAAAAAGAAAAAAAAATGTCCAAGAATGTGTCAATTTTACTTCTAATAAATTTTATTTTTTTAAGTAAAATTTATCCAAAATATAGTTAAAGTTCAAAGTGCTGTACCTATAATGAAAGTTCTTTCAAATAATCACTTTTTCGACTAGTCTACTTCTACTAAATTCATGAACTATGGAAAAAAAATGATTGAAATTATTAATGCTATTAGATCTCTAAGATAAACCAATGTTGTTTGAATATATTCCACTTTTTCAAGTGTATGCGATCGTCATATATATATGTGCCCATGTCGCAAAAATCGGATCATTTTTAGCGGTCAACCACGGTATTTGTTAAAACCAACGGTTAATTGCAGCAATGAGAGCCGGTAACTGGACCGGTTTTTATCACATGGGTGTACAGTCTGTCACAAATGTATCCGTGCAACTAACGTTACTTTCGTATATTTTTAATTTTGCAAGAATACAACCTAGAAATTTTCCTTGTTCCCAACGATCATCCTTTATTCTCTTATCTATAACTTTCACATATACTCTATGTCACATGCAATGAACGTGAAGGTAAAAGGCTGTTCGACAACATGAATATTTATAAATCATAACAAAATATGAAGAAAATACTACATAATCAATCGAATAGTTAGTAAATTGTAGCTGATATCTCGTCTAATTTCATTGTTGAAAACGTTAATAATTCAAAGGCCACTGCGAATTGCCTTTGCAGATTTAATATAATTTCGAAATTATCATAAAACTATGTTCTACTGGAATATATAAAAAGTTTTTTCTTCAATTTGCTGATGACTACTATTCTAACAGACCATATATTAGGCGGCATATTCATTTAGAATCAGAACTTTCATCAACACCCATAGAAAAAATTCTATACTTTCAAAAACTTTGAATCAGAAGTTCGAAAATGAATTATATTCGATCCTGTAGTTTTGAATTATGAATTCATTCTATGATATTAGAATTGACAAAAAAAATTCTCTCCATAAAGCTGAAGTCAACAATTAAAAATAGCAATTACTTTTCTTGTAATATTTTTAGCGTGAATTTTTCAATGTAAGTTGTTTATCATTCATTCATGGTTTATCCGTTAGTCGAAAAGAAGGTTATCTATCAGAAGTATCTAATGATTATTATTGTGATCAACATGTTTTGTTTCCTACACAATATCTTTGTAATTTATGTAAATGTCATGATGGTCCAAAGTATGCCTTATCTTTTTTTTTGTCTTATCAAATAAAAAGTTCTTTACTTTTTTTTTTTAAATATATATAGATGGTTTATTATTAAAGATAGTTATATAGTTGATATACGACCCGATACACACGAAGTATGTTTTCCTATGTTAGTTGATCGTGGTTTTCAAGTTTCAACTGTTAATGATAATAATATTAAAATAAGCAATTTACAACGTACATTAGTTATTAAATGTCGAACAACATATGATTGTAATGAATGGACACAAGATTTATTAAATTTAATTGAACAAGCAAATGATTTTGTCAGTACAAAACAAAGTCGATTTAATTCATATGCACCTGTTCGAGAAAATCAATTAGCTTATTGGTAAAAAATAAAATAATTTTGTATTAAACAAAAATCGATATGTTTAATATAGGTTTATTAATGGTAAATCATATATGGAAGCTGTTGCTAAAGCACTTTTAACAGCTAAAGACGAAGTTTTTATTACTGATTGGTGGCTTTCACCTGAACTCTTATTAATTAGACCAACAGATGATGAAACATATCGACTTGATAATATATTAGGAAGAATAGCTGTAAGAATTTGAAATTAATATTTTATTATTCATATTTATTTGTAAATTATAGGATGCAGGAGTTCGTGTTTATGTCATGCTTTTTAAAGAAATATCATTTGCTGTAGCTTTAAATAGTTTATATACAAAAAAGACATTAGTTTCTAAAAGTACAAAAGGATTTATTAAAGTTAGTTTAATGTTTTTGATCAAAAAAGAAAATAATTCATTTACTTTAATTTCTAAGGTTATTCGACATCCAGATCGTAATACAACGGATGGAGTACTTTTATGGTCTCATCATGAAAAAATGGTTGTTATTGATCAAAAGATTGCTTTTATCGGCGGAATTGATTTATGTTATGGACGTTGGGATGATGAATATATGCGGTAAGTTACTGTCTTATATTAGATTTTTACATACATCATGCATTTATTTTTAACAACAAGAAAAAAAAAACATACATATGAAAGTTTTACATAATGTATAATGTTGGTATAAAATATTGAATAATGAGTTATCGACACAATATTTATTGGGATACTGATTACATTGTCATCGGTATTTTACTATAGTACTAGATCAGTATTCCCTACAAAAGTCAAACATAAACTCTATCAAAACTATGCCCTTTCTAACTATATCGTTATATTCCGATGCTTCACTAACACTGGTACTAATCCCGGATTTTTTTAAAAGTATTAACCACCATTTTTTTGAATAACTTTTGGTCACTTTAAGCAATCGAGCTGCGGTTTTCACCCTTCCATAGAACAAAGCGGGGAACATTTTACCTATATAAGATTCATTGGGATTGGGACTGGAGACTGTCGCATTCCTAAGATCTTCATAGTCATTTCGAATTAAACTATCTCAGATTGTAGCCCATACATTGTTCTATATAGAATATAATTTTCAAAATTTTCTATTGCATCCTTGAAGAATGAGACGTTCTATACTGAACTACTCAGAAACACCTCTATACATAGAATAAATGTAAATCACTCATAGATATTCAACTTTTTTGACTAGCGATATTTTTCCTCTTTGGAAAACTTGTTGAAAGATAGTCATGCATGCGCTCGTCATAGCCTGCAGGTTCGGCAATAGTCAACCAAAGAATACATTCGCTTTCTTCTTATAGTATCGGACTAAAACAAGCTGATCAAATAAACAAGAATAGAAAACATTGACGATTATAGTCAAGTATCATCTATGTTTTCAACATTATTGTCTTCATGCTCATCTCCATCTTATCCTTGGTATTCATCTTGATTAGTGCATAGATAGTAAAGAACAGAAATGTCCGAGGTGATGCTACAAACAAGTCAATAGCAAATCATATTTCACTATTACTGTCCATCCTGATTAATACATTAAGTTTTCTTTTAGTCCGATACTATAAGAGGAAAGCGAATGTATTCTTTGGTTGGCTATTGCTGAACCTGGAGGCCATGACGAGCATATGCGTGACTATCTTTCGACAAGTTTTCCAAATAGGAAAAATGTCGCTAGTCAAAAAAGTTGAATATCTATGAATGATTTACATTTATTCCGTATATAGAGATGTTTCTGAGTAGTTCAGTATAGAACGTCACATTATTTGAGGATACAATAGACAATTCTGAAAATTATATTCTATATAGAACCATGTATGGGCTACAATCTGAGATAATTTAATTCGAAATGACTATGAAGATCTTAGGAATGTAACATCGAAAAAGTTTCCAATCCTGCTCCAATAAATCTTATATAGGTAAATGTCCCCCGCCTTGCTCTATCAAACAGTGAAAACCGCAGTTCGATAGCTCAAAATGACCAAAAGTTGATATTGGTAGTCAGTAGACTGTATTTAATAAATTATAAAACTTTTTTTTTTCTAAAAAATGTTATACAAACTTCGCCGATAGTATGATTTTAATTTATCTAATATGAAAATTGTATTGTTTATTCTGATTAGTAAATTAGTAATTATTGAATAATTATTACACAATAAACTCATGAACTTCTATCTACAAATCATCAACTATAGTTTATAAGAAAAAATAAATCATTGAAAACACTATCTAAATATTTCCCTTCATTCTCAATGAAATGATATTCTAACGAGTCATTATTTATAATTAAGATTATGAATGTTTGGCGAAGTTATTAATAGAAATTTTACTTTGCAAATTATTTAAATGTAATATAATTCGATATGAATTAACATAACTAAGGAACGTCTATTTTGTTGAACTGAGTATTAAGTTACGAGTTTTCGCTTTATTTTTATTGTCAGTCTTGTGGATTTGGGTAAGAAAAATGATACAACATTGAAATCGCCATTTGATATAGCTGCAGAAAAAGCAGCATCGGGTGGTAAAGAAACAGTAGAAGCAGCACAAATAACTACTACGCAAATGGCTGAACAAGCTGGTGAAATACCTATTAAAGTAAGAAAACTAAAAAGAGAAATAAGATAATAAAATTTTTTGTATTTATTGTTTTTGTGAAACAGAAACAAGAGATAAAATTTTTCATTTCTTTATCTTCACAATAAAATCTATTTCAAAAAATGACAAGATCTCTTAAGATGATAGTACAGATGAAAATTCATCGAGATTGTTTTTTTTTTCAAAATTAAACTACTAACGAGAGAGCCTATAAAAAGTTACATGAAACTTGACGCGGTTTGACAAAATTTTTACTGCAAAAACTTAAAGTTTGAAGAGAAAAAGAATACTTAACTACATTCATGAAAAAAGTTAACTTTAAGTTTTTGCAGTAGAAATTTTGTCAAACCACCAAGCTTCATGTAGCTTTTTTTGAGCTCTCTCTCTCTCTCCCTAGTAGTTTAATTTTGTTGTCGGAAAAGTGAATACTTTTGTATGAAAAACAGAAGAATCCTAAAAAGCGTGTCATAATTCAAGATGATAGACAAAATTCCTGATTTTTATATAGAAAATAATATGAAGCGAGGACTGCCTAGTGATGAAGAAAAGAAAAATTTTTATCTCTTGTTTCTGTTTCACAAATCAATAAATACGAAAAAAATACCAAGGGTCTTCGAATACTTTTTTCTTTGACTGTATATTTAATATTTATGAATCTATTCTAGAGTATTAAGTGTCTGAGAGCAGCATTCAATCCTCTAAATGAGGTAAATGAAGATGTCAAGCTTCCTGCTTCAACTGATGCAAATGAAACAACATATGATATGAAATTAATAGCTGGAAATTGTAAATAATTTTATTGTGTTTTTTCACAAATTATTCACTCTTCTTGTTTTTTTATTTCATTATCAAGGGATTCAATCAACGTTGACAAGTATGAATAAATTTCATTTCTTATTCATGAGAAAGGAAAAATCAGGAGATAATAATATTTACATGTCAGGGGAAGATCATCTATATATATGTTATGGCTCAAATTAGAATTCAGCCCAATTTAGAATTCGTCCAGACGAAATTAGAATTCTAATTTGGACTAGACGAAATTGAGATTCTAATTTCGACTGTGATGATTATGGACGA